GCTGCTCTTGCAAAGGACCTGGGTTAGGTTTTCAGCACCTGGTTAGGTCCCCAGCATCTACATGGTGGTTAACAACCGACTATAACTCCAGTTCCAGGGGATGCAACACCCTCTTTTGACCTCCACTGGCACTGCATGACATGGGTGCACTTATATACATGCAGAGAATACACTCATAAACATAAAAATAATAAATAATCAGTAAAAGACTTTGGACCTGAGCATAGAAAACCTAAGATTATCATTGAAAGAGAAAGGAGCAAGAATGAGGAGAATGTGTATGTTTCTTGGTTAGCTACAAGTCTCATGTGTTTATATGCAAATATTATGAACTTCTGGAGGTAAAGGAATAAGTAAAAATTTCACAGGAACAAGTTGAGCTATAGCAGTGGTGTTGAGGTGGCAGCTGCATCTCATTTTACATCCAGTGAATGAATGGGTGGTGTACAAAACATTTTATAATCAAATCTGAGAAACTTGGGGTTCTTTAACATCTTTCTAATTAGGGATGGATAAAGAGCTACACAGGCAAAAACTAGTCACAAACACTCTGTTTTTGTTATGAATTAGGGCAATCAAACTTTTATTTTTGCAAAATTGTTATGTTTCATAATGACTGCCTTTAAAATTATTGTGTTTGAGTACTATATACAATGTGTATTTGGTTCAAATACACAGAAAGAACTCCTGATGAAAAGAATGCGTACATGCTTGCTGAGCTGTTTAATGGATAGCTATTTGATGCTGTTCTGCAGTATGTTTAAAGAGCAATTTTTCTTTGTTGCTTTAGAGAGCTCATTTGACGTTCTAAAAATGGATGCAATTTCAAGGGGTAGCCAAAATGTATCAATTAGCCTGAAATCTAGGTCTTTTTAAGAGATCCATAAATTTCCAATTTCCTTTGCCATCTTAACCATGGTAAATCATCTTGAACAAGATCATTCTTTTGAACAACAGCCTCCTTATTAGCTGAGATCAATTGAGATTAGAAAACGAAAAATACACCAGATGCTGAAAACTCTTTATGAAACCACATTTGGAGGATGAGTATTGAATGAAGATTAATGTGTTATTTTCAGTGTCTAAATCATTGATTTAAAAATTTGTTTTCTACATCTCACTGCTGGATTGAACACTAATATGCGTGTGGATGGTTTACTTGCTGGCAAGCATTATCTTCCCCCCTCTTGAATTTCTGTATTAATGGAAGGAAATGATTTTTAATTTTAAATGTAGCTTGCTTTGGACACCACATGTAGTTCTGAAATTGCTACACATTACATTAGGTAAATTTTTTTCCTGTTGAATTATAAACCAATGACTATATTCTTTATTTTAACTTCTAATTAATTTTTATCTCTCTTTCTGATAAAATACCTTAGTTCATGGTACAGACTCTGTGTAATCTGGACTCTGTACCTCTTTTTTAGCCCCAGCTGGCCTGGAACTCACTATGTAGGCCAGGATGGCCTGGATCACACAGATACCCACCTGCCTCTGCCCCCTGAGTGCTGGGATTAAAGGTGTGCGCTAGCACACCTGGTTTGGACTCTGTACTTTCGAAGGAAATCTCATCATTCCTTTTTTATGAACCAGTCCCAGTTACAATGGCCTTCCTTCAAACTCTAATACTACAGATTTGAGATATTTACACATGCTGTGTATGTTTATATTGCTTTCTAACTTTCTGTAACATTCTTCCATATTGTATATAAATATATTAGCTTCTAATTGTCCGTCTGTCTTTCCATTACAAGAATGTAGGTTGTAAAAACGTGGATTTTGTCTTTCTACTTACTGCTGAATCTCCACATCTAGAAGTGCACTGAGTATGTAAAATACACTCAGGGGCTTCAAAGACTGCACAGTGGTTAAAAACTTGCTGCTCTGTCATGAGGACTGGAGTTTGGACCCCAGCACCCATGTTGAGTGGCTCACAAATGCCTGTAAGTCCAGCTGCTGAGATATGAAGCCTCTTCTGGCCTCCATGGACACCTGCACACAACACACACACATACACTCACACACATATACAATAAAAATAAAACAACTTTAAAACACAGTTAGGAAAAGTAATGAATAAATGATTGAAGGAAAGTAGAAAGGAAAGAATGAACTATTTCTTTTAGTGAGACACTAATTTCCTTTCTGCAAACTTTGGTAACGTCTATTCATCATTCAAACTGCGGCTTAAATTTCACTTTAACTTCCAATTTTCAGGTACTTTTGAGTCCACTAAAAGATCTGGTTCCTCCATTGCTTGTTTTTACAGTTCCTATATTTCTCCTAAGAACTTGTTGGAACTTTCATGTATGAAGACCATCATTTGAGAGATAATTTCTTCAAACTCTGAGTTCTTCTTTAGCTATAAGCTCTGCTGGAACAGAAAATGTTCTTATTTCGGTCTTAATTATATCTCCTAACACCCACCACAATGCTCTGAAGCCGAAGATGGTCTGTAAGCATTTGATGGATGCAAACGTGGCTGGTAGCTGGCTACACAGTTCCTTATTACAGTTCTGACCTTCCAGTTGTTCAGTGTTCTCTTAATATCACCACCACCACAACAACAACAAATTATAATTGGTGGACCACAGAAGAATGCTTTAATATACTGGGTAAGTTTCTATTTCAATGTATATGAATTTAATAATGCTTTAAGGATCTATTACTTTTAAGGCCCCATAACAACCTCTTCACTTCATTTCAAAGTATTTAATGAAGCAAATAGTGAATGATTTTTTTCTTCTGGACTAATTTGGGGAAAGAAAGTTGTGTAAACAGTGAAAAGAACAAAGTTTTGTTTGTTTTATGATACAGAGTCTCTCTGTGTAGCCCAGGCTAGCTTTGAACTTAAGATCCTGTTGCTTAAACTTTTCAAGTGCTTGGATTACAGGAGTGTACCACAAAACCTGACTGACAAGACCATAGTTACTGAAGCAGAATATTCCCTTCCACTCTTAATTGTTTACACCAATGTGGCCAAGTTATCACTTCAGTCCTGGGTACTTCTTATGCCAAATAAAGAGAAAGACTTTGGGAATTCAGTTACCAGATAATGCAGTCCAAGCAGATAGAGCAGCATTAATTCACTGTGCTTTAAGTCTGGGCGCATTACATAAGATCAGAGAAAATTCCAGAGTATTATGAAATAGTAAGAAGGTATTAAAAATAGTAAAAAGAAAGTCTTCATGTGTGAACAGGTAGATTTCCTTTTTTGTGTGCCTACCAGTCATTAAATAAATGTCTAAGCTTTAAAAACAAAACAAAACAGGAGCTCTGAACATGATTGTCCACTGATTCCTGTGACTCCATCAAATAAAGAAACTTCAGTTTAAAAAAAATAGACTATTTTCATTCAGAAAAGTATAGCTTCTAAGCAGCTTCAGAAAAGTGTGTATAGTAATTATAAATGAATGGTCAGTACAAAAACTACTATAATAAAGACATACAAGTAGCTGTTTTGTGGAGGTGTTTGTGGAGCAACATTAGAGGTGATTGATGATGCATATTGTATAGTATACTTGACACACAGTAGGTGCTTAAGAGATGGCAGTTGTTAGTATTAACTTCAAAGGTAAGCTCCCAGAGCCTGCTTTCCCAGCACCTTGGACATAGAATACAACTGATAAAAGCCAGGTCAATGGACCAGCAATGGAAATCACAGCATGATAAAATATAATCAAGAAAACAAGTCCAAAAACTTGTTCATGAAGTTTGTAGATCATTAAAAAAAATACTTATTACTTTACGTTACATACCAAAATAGAGCAAAATATATGTTACTGATTGTGAATGCTTTGGATGGCCAATAGGGAATGATACAAGGCTGTGGCTACTGAGAAAAAATAAGATCCTCTGTGCAAAAGTGGTGTGTGTGTGTGTGTGTGTGTGTGTGTGTGTGTGTGTGTGTGTGTTAAAATTTCCAACTCCTTTGGCACAATTTTATGCTGGTTGTACTGATGTTTGATAAAAATGGATTAACTTGCTATGATGACAGACAAAATTGGGTTATTGATCGTGAATATCAAGGTGAATTTGTCATAGTGATGGGTATCTTTTTCCCTTTAGCGGTGGTCGGCTAATGATCACAAATATGTTCCAATGATGTTGGATAATGTTGCCCAAATAGGTCAGTGCTGCATACCAGGCTCACCTTTGAAGACTAGAGCACAAACTGAATTCCACATGCCACTTTGCTGTAGTGGACTAAAACCAGGTTTTCAGTAGTATTTACATGTCCATAAACATTAGGTGTTGTCCTTTCATCTAACCAAAGTCTTTGCTGCCTCTTTAAGACCATGGAAAAGAATATTCCTTTTCTCTAGGTTATTTTCTACTTTTTTGTTACTTGGGTGTCCATGTAAAGGCATCTGGCAAAGACCCAAACACTAAAGTCACCCAATTTAAGTGGGCTACTTCCTGGCAATGACACTGGAACTTTCAGATTCCTAATTATAGAAATTAATGTGGTCACTAAAATTCAAAAGTCCTGCCATTAGAAAAAGAGATGGCCACCATCTTCCACCCACTTGATATCTTGTGAAGATCTTCTAGATCCACTCATACCAAAGAGCGGCCAGGCACACATTGTGGACCCACAGAGGCCAGCGGAGCCAGCGCAGTTTCTGTCTTGCCCACACCTTCATGACCGTGCAGGCCAATATCCTGGACGCGACACACAGAGGAATATGTCTGAATATTCTGATTCACAAGAACAGACACCGGATAAGGCTACACTATATGCTCTGCCACACTCACAAAAATGCACTTTGCATATCCAGGTGGGCCACCTGCACTCAGAGCCCACATGTTTCCCTTCCTGGGAGCGTCCCAGTGTGGATAAGGCAGCACCTCTGGTCCAGTAACTTTTCTCTGCTGTCCAACTCCCAGAGGGCTGGTGGCGCCCGGCTAGGGCGGACTCCGGCCCTGCCTCCTCCCGGGTGACCAGGCCAGGAAATGCCCAGGAGTGATTCGGGCGGGGCCCAGTCAGGCCAGGAAATGCCCAGGAGTGGGTGTCACATGCCTCGGCACAACTTGTTGACTCCGGAGAGCGCCACCGCCTCGGTGTGTGGCTCACCTGTCCGCCGTGGCTACTCGACCCGCACTCACTTGCCATGAGCAAGTTGGGCAAGTTCTTCCGAGGGGGCCGCTCCACCCGGGCCCGCGCGGCGCCCAGCGCCCAGGAAGCCCTGGCCCGGCTCCGGGAGACCGAAGAGATGCTGGCCAAGAAGCAGGAGTACCTGGAGAACCGAATCCAGAGGGAGCTCGCCCTGGCCAAGAAGCACGGCTCGCAGAACAAGCGAGGTAGGCTGCACCCCTGGCCGGGCCTCTCCTAACCCTGGGGACAATCCCACGCTAGGCACCTGCGCCCTCCTGGCAGCCTGGTTTTTGCTCTTACAGTGTTTCTAGGAACTGATCCTGACCCCTAGGGCCTGGTAATTAGGATGAGCTGAGCCAGGTACCTGCCAGGCTGGCAATATGTAAGGCGGCACCAACAATTTCAGTAATGGTAATGAACAATATTTATAATATTTAAAAGACTCACTCTATGGTGAACTTGAGATCAAAACTTTAAATAGAGGCAGGGTGAATATTAGTAATCATTTTTTTTTTGTCTTTGGTTCATCTCATTTTTTAAAATGGTACTTCTTTATTGAAAACTCTTAAAAATGTGATATTTTGGTTGACATGGATTTTTGTGTATTAATTTTGAGTCTTAAGACTATTGCATTAAAATGTAGTTTAATTTGTTACTGAGCTTTCTGGCACCCCTTTGGATTGTGCCCCTGGGTCCCCTCTTCCTAGCCTAGCTCTGCTGTCTTCAGTTCTATACACCAAGTTCTCTGCTGTATGTTTGTATTTAAGTCACACATGTAACTTACATGTAAATAGATCGCCAGTGAATCATGTTCTAATCTGTGCTGGTTTATCTTGTTCATCCACTGTTGAAAACTGTAGTTGGCTATTGTATAGTTGAGTTCTTAAAAGAGTCAGGAATTAAATATTAAATTTCCTATCACTGGCTTTTAGTACATACAAAGAACTTTGAGTTAATAATGACTCATACCTTGAACCTTTTGCTCTTGTCAGAGTTAATTGGTTTGTGCTGCATACTGCTCTCTCTATAGAAATAGGCCCCAGGAGCACCTGTGGTATGCATGAAAACCCAGTGAGGAGAGAAGTGATTTGCTTTTAGTGCCCACTCAATGGCAGACCCTGAAATATAAGTGGCAGTAGCTCTGCTTACTCCCAAACCCTGAACATTTGTGACCCTACTTCTGACTTCTTTACCACACCATGATTTGAGGGAAGGATAATTCCTCCTTCTTCCCCTCCTCCTCCTCCTCCTTTTCTGCCTCCTCCTTCTTTCAGTACTGGATTCAGAACATACTTCCTTATGCTTGCCAGGCAAGTGCTCTACTACTGAGCCACACTCCCATTCCAACCCCGATTCCAAGTATGGCTTTGTTAGTCACAGTTAAGCCTTGGAAGGATTTAGCTTACCCTAAATGATACTGCCTTTGTTCAATGCAGCAGAGAGGTGATGCCTCATGGAATTGACCTTGACAACCCTGCATTTTCTTACAAAAGTGTTCCTGACACATTTATGCTTTCTTATTACCCACAATGGAAAGGCCCAGTTTGGTTTTTTCCTGTTGTGGCCTGTAGCTTTTGGCCACAGTATAGCCTGGTTTAGAGCTAAGGACTGGTTTCTATTTTTAGTCCATGTTGGAAAATATTTTGGGAAGTTATTTAGTGACAGTGTCTGAACAGAGACCATGCATTATGGCTTGCTGTGACTCCTCCCTGCCTCCAGTTTGCTGTGCACTCTTAGCACTTGCTTAGTGTCTGCCAAGGCGCTGTCACCTTGTCATTTATTTGGAACTGTGTGTACCTTGTTTCCAGTGGTGGCAACAGATATGGATTTAATACTCAAAAAACTTTAACATCTGCTTCTAGGAATTTGTAAAAGTGTAGATTGGCTTTTAAAGAATAAAATGTAAAATAATATGGATTATACTCATTTGCAGAAATATTCTCTAGTTGACAATGCACTAATGTGCATCACAAGCTCTCTTGATAAAGACAAAAAGAGAGTCCAACTTCCTTAACTCAGGGAGGTTACAGATGCATAAGTAACTAATTGACATAAAAATCCATTCATTACCATTACATATGAGAGCTTCACTGATGTTATCCCAGGCCTGGGCTCCAGTGGACCTGGGAGTAAGCAGAGGCTGGTTTGTAAGAGAGCATTTGTAATATAAACTACAGAATAAATTCAGTCACAAACCTGGGCGTTAGAAACATCATCTATTGATATCTCCCGGATAAACCAGAAATACAAACTCACTTTCTTCCTTTATCCACTAAAAATATTTTCAGACACATAGGAAAATAAAGCTTCACAAAACTGAGCCCTAAAAAGTCCCTTGTTCCAGAGTGGCACTTCTAGAACAGCTGTAATTTACATGGTAATCACAGAGACACAATGTTCAGTTAAAGCTTTACTTCTACAGATGGCCTCCTAATGTAGTGTCAAGCATACTGACTGAATGATCAGCTAGCATTATGTCAAAAGCTACAAGTTCTTCACTGATGTATGTCTCTTCAACAGAAGAAGCATTGGCAGCATTTTCACTGCCTAAAAGGAATTTTACTGGCAAAATGAGTAACTTTAAATTAGCATTATTTGGGGGCTGGAGAGATGGCTCAGCAGTCAAGAATGCTGACTGATCTTGCTCAGGACCTGGGTTTGAGTCTTAGCACCCACATGACCGCTAACAACCATCAATAATTCCAGATACAGGGGACCCAACACCTTCTTCTGACTTCCACGAGCATTGCACGACATGGTTGCTCTTACATACGTGTGGGCAGTATACTCATACACATAAAAATAATAAATAAAATATTTTAAAATTAACATTATAAACATCAGAAGATGGCACTCACTGGTAAAATTGCAAATACTCAAAATGTGTGCATTGGCTACAATGTTTAGAGATACTTTTCAGTCCCCCATGTTTCTAATAGAAATGAATCTATTAGACCCACAAGTAAATATTGGCATGGTACTGCTTGTCCTCAAATCAAGGACAGTGATTTGGTGATCGGTTCAGGGTTTCTGACTGAGTACTGCTCTCACAGAGGTGACATTGTCTGCCTCAGTCTTTCAAACATGCTGTACTGGAGACCCGAAAGGGCACAGAGTTGGAACTTCATTGATCTCATAAAACAGACTGACAACCTGTTTTGTCTTCTTGTGCCTAGATATTTGTTTAATAATGTGCATGATGATTGTGTTTTGAAATTTGGTTGCATTATAACTAGTAGCAAGGAAATGGCAGAAGTAGCTAATTCTTACTGCAAACTTTTTTAGGGATTATCATCACCACATACCAGAGAAACTGAATACATGCCACAGAACTGGTTCTGTAGCACCTGTGATATGATATTCAAGGTCCTGATGGTTCAAAAGAGTAACAGAGCAAGATTTCTAACTTGGTTAAAACTTTAGGAAGCCAGAGATTTTAAATGTGGTTTATTCAGATTACTATAACTCCTGCCTTAAAGCTAGTGGTCTATTTGGGCAAAAGCAAACTTATTATACATACCTCAATTGTTTTCCCATGTCTTTCAGTGTTACCTAGAGCAGTGTTTCATCCTACATGTCTGTTGAAGTCACCTGCTTGCAAGTGGCCATCCCTATGGATTCTTATATAACTGCTTGGAATGGGACTCAGGCATTAAGTTTTTAAAAAGCCCTTCCAGCTGACTCTGCCCCGTGGTTAGGTCCTATATGAGAAATCTAAATCCATCTTAATGTTAATGAGGTTGAAAAACCAGGTCTCTCACTCTCTCCTGCTTCCTGGCCCTTTTCCCATTATGGGACCCACAGGCAATGAATATTTGTACGCTTTCTTGAGATAGGGCAAGTGAAGTAACTCTTGATGCCCCAGGCTGGTGTCCTCAGAAATGGAGTGTCATATCTCAACACATTGAAAACCCATGCTGCCACGCTGGTTTGGCAACATTCCTTAGAGGTCACTGTTCTGATTTTTTCTTGAGATCTTTTTATACTATCCCTGATGTCCTTGGGATTTTGCTAAATATAATATTTCAATTTAATTGTTACAATTTGACACAAAGCCTTTGGTATTGTAGTTCAGAGCTTGTGCTTCAGAACAGTCAGCCCTAGGTTTGATTTGTCCTCGTTGTCACTTAGCAGCTGTGACTTCTTACTGGTCACCTGTCTAGTTAGTTCTGTTTCCTCATCTGAATAATGCAGAAGTAACTCTGATGCTAAGAGTTGTGAGGATGAGTGACGTTGTATGATGCATTCAGTGTCTTAAAAATATCGGCCTTTGGTCTACAATAATTTCTTTAAATGTTTTATTATTTCTATTTTATGTGTATGAGTGTGTTGCCTGCCTGTGAGTGCACCCATATCGTGAAATGCCACGGAGGTCAGAAGAGGGCTTCAGATTCCCCTGGAACTGGAGTCAAAGACAGTTCGTAGTTGCCATGTGGGCGCTGGGAATTGAACCTGGGTCCTCTGCAAGAGCAGTCAGTGCTCTTAACCGCTGAACCATCTCTCCAGCCCCTATAATAATTTTTTTTAAAGTTGAAATTTGTTCACTTATTGGCTCAAATTTTGTCTTCTGGAGTAGCACTGAATACATTTACCATCTCCTTTTATGTATTTGAGGGCAGTAGTCACTTCCCCACATCTCTTTTTTCTCAGTTTTCCCATCTTCACTTCCTTGGAGACCTTTCCTGTGCTAAGTCTTTCTTGCCAGGCTGGGCCTGGAGAAGAGGCTGGCAAGATGCCTGGGACACACTGGTGTGACCATCACAGTGAGTCCTGTCTTGGGTTATGATGCCTTATGTGGCTCCTCCTCTCGCCAAGTCCTGGCCTTGCTGCTTATCTTGTCCAGGGCCCCAAATTATATATTTGGAGGAGCAACTGCCTATGTGTAATTATGTGAGAAGGTGTGGGTTCAGTTTGTAGTTATCTGTAGGCCATAGGCTGCTGAGCTTGTGACATGGACTGATAGAAAAGGTCAAGACAGAAGAGGAAGCAGATTCGAACAAAAGCTTTCCAAAGTGTCATATGGACGGTTCGAGTGAAATATGGTGCTGGGGCTCTTCGCTGTCTTCATTAGGGGTCTGCTTAGGGAAATGAGTCTTCAAGGTAGTGTCCTCTATGGAAACAAGCTGTTTCACTTTGGAGCCTGGACTGTAAATGGACAAGGCTGAAGATTCTTTTGGAATCTGGATGCAGACATGGTGGCTGTGTG